GCGGAGCCAGGGGCTGGCTGGTGGGGAGGAGGAGGCGGAGCCAGAGGCTGGCTAATGGAGAGGAGGAGGCGGAGCCAGGGGCTGGCTGGTGGGGAAGAGGAGGCGGAGCCAGGGGCTGGATGGTGGGGAGGAGGGGGCGGAGCCAGGGGCTGGCTGGTGGGGAGGAGGGGGCGGAGCCAGGGGCTGGCTGGTGGGGAAGAGGCGTCCCAGCTGTCCTCCTGTAGACCCCTCCTATTCATACCTACTGAGTGGATAGCATTCACTGGTGGAGGAGAGGAGTCCCAGCTGGCCCTCTGTGGTTCTCTCTTATTCATGCCCACTGAGTGGGTATTACTAGCTGGTGGGAGAGTGGGAGGTTGGCCTTTTGGGAAGCTTATCTGCACACAAGAGACCTTGCACTTACCCCAGAAAGTTCTGTTTCCCAGCTCAGCACTGCCCCATTGGGCTAGGGCGTGGTGCTTGTAGAGGTCTCTGAAGAGTGGCTGTTGTGTCACTGACACTTTTGCAAGACCTAGTTGGCCACCCACATCCTTTGAACCTGCAAACGCAGCAGGGAATTTTGATAGGGTAAAAAGGAGGGGTCATTGTGAGGTATGGGGCACAGGTAGAAATCACTGGCATGGGGAGAGGCTTCAGGAGGATACAGTGCAAATGTGTTCACTGTTGTTATGTTCCCTTGAGTTGACTACAATTCATAATGACCCTATGAACAAGAGATCTAAATCCTACCCTATCCTGTTCCATTCCTTATCATCTCTATATACTTGAGTCCATCACCACAGTCACCTTGTCAATCCACCTTTCCAAGAATGATGACCTTCTCCAAGGTTTTGCTCCTGTTAACAACATAATCAAAGTATGTAGATAGAATTTCACCATCCTTGCTCATCCTGATTTCACCATGAATTGGATCAGGTACACCTTAGTCTTTAAATTGAAATTGCTACTCTTTAGAACTTTGAAGAAGTCCTTGATAGCAGATTTTCCCAATGCAACAGTTTTTTTGAGTTTAAGGGTGTTGATTGTAGATACAAGTAAAATGGAATCATTGACAATTTAAATTCTTTCTCTCTCCTTTGTCCCCGTGTAACAACCGTTGGTTAGATTCCAGCATAAATAACCATTTGTGTTCTTGCACGAGCACTGGGAGGCACCCCGCACAATGGAAGTCCTTGGATTCCAACACAGCATGAATGTGAGCTGGAAGTGAATGGTGACATTTCCGCACCCACTCTGTACGTCCTGCCACAGCCGAGCCACATATGTGTACAGGAAGAATGTTCCTCCTGAGTCCTCTCCTGTGGCTTCCTGCCTCTCTGAGGGCTGTGGCTTCAGCAGTTTCTCTGCTGCAGTGGGTTGAATCACACATGGTCTCAACTATCTTACTAGCTTCCCCAGGGCCAAGAAGTACTGGGTTGTCCCAACCTCTCTGAAGATCTGCTTTCCCTGATTGAACCATGAGCTTCCTGAGAACTTTCTGGAGAGTGAGTCTCACTCTATTCACTGAATAGAATAAAACTAGACAGGACCATATCCTTTCTCCACATCTGTTACATCTCTATGCTAAAAAATTCATTTGAGCAGTTGAACTTTTTGAAGAGAAACGTGGCATCAGGATTAGAGGAAGACTCATCAACAGCCTGCATTATGCAGAGGACACAACCTTGCTTGCTGGAAGGCAGGATGACTTGAAACACTTGCTGCAGAAGATAAAAAACTACAAACTTCAATATGGATTACATCTCAGCAACAAGAAAACAAAAATTCTCACTACTGGAACAATAAGCAGCATCAAGGACTTCCATTGTGCAGGGTGGTTTCCAGTGCTTGTGCAAGGACACAAGTGGTTATTTATGCTGGAATTTAACCAATGATTGTTACGCTGGGACAAACGTCTGGCTTGTCTGGATCAGGACCTCAAGGCCCTGAGGTTCAGTCTGGACTGTTTTTAGCGGCCACTGAGTAGTTTAGACAAATCACGTGAATCAGCCAGAAATTGCCCTTTCTGTGACTTTGTCACCAGTGAGGGGGTGCATATACATTCATAAAGGTCATGGCAGGCTTTTGCTTTAGTTGAAGGTGAGGACATTCAGCTTGGGCCCCAGGACCTCTTACCCTAGTGATAGACTGGCACAGAAGAAGATTCGATCACCTAAGCAGTGAAGCTCCCCTTCTGAGCTTTTGCTACTCTCTTCCTCCTGCTTGCTTCTAACCGCCTTTCCAGATCCAGGCCTGTTGTCTCCATCTCTAGGAAGTCCTCTCTGTTGCCTTTACATCTGTGCAATGACCCGAACCCCTTCTTTGTGGGCTCCTATAAACAGATTGAGCCAGGTCTCAATCTTCAAGCCCTTGAAACATGCGTCCCTGCCCATGGGGCCAGCTCACTTGTGTCTCACTCTATAAATACTTAGTCCATGCATTCAAGGCCTGAGTCTCCGCCTCTCCCTACCCTGATGTCACCGAGAGGAAGACATATAGAACTGTTTGGGGCCACCTGCGCTGAGCTGGGAAAGGACACTGCTCTCTAGGGTAGGTGGCATGTGGGGCCCCTGACGTTGTACAAAATAACACCCTGATGGTGCTGGATCTGCCTTTCAGAACCGGGAGAAGTACCTCCTGCCCTTCCTCTCCCTGCAAGTCATGGACTTCCTCCTGTGCCTGCTCACCCTGCTGGGCTCCTACATCGAGTTGCCTGCCTATCTCAAGTTCACTTCCCGGGGCCGGGCTGTGAGTATCCAGCAGGGGCGTGGTCCTTGGGAGTTCCGAGGGGCCAAGCAAATACACTGGTTCAGGTGCCCCTTTGGTCCCTTCCTAGTTGGAGACCTGGGCAAGATCCTGATCCTCTCCTAATCACTCAAGTTTCTTCATCTGTAAATTATCTCTGTAACTGTCCTTGCAAGAATGAAAGGAAGAAGGTAGTGAAGACTTGTGGTTAATTGTTCTTGAGCTTGTTCTCCAACTCACAGTAACTCTGTGTGCAGCAGAACCAAACTCTGCTTTTCATGGTAAACCCATTGCTGTAGTGTCAATTCTGACTTGTAGCAACCCTGCAGGACAGATGAGAGTGGTGCCCTAGCTTTTCTTATGCTGTGTTCTTGGAAGACGATTGCCAGATCCTTCTCTTGTGTAGCAGTTGGTGGGTTCAGTCAGTTAGTACTTAACCACTATGCCACCAGGCTGCAGGCTCAATGGTTAAGCACTGGGCTGTTAACTGAAGGTTTGGCTGTTCAAACTTGCCAGTGGTTCCTTGGGAGAAAGGCCTGCCAGTTTACCCCTGTAACAGCTACAGCCTAGAAAACCCTTTGGGGCAGTTCTACTCTGCCACGGGGGTTGAGGGTGTCTCTGAGTGAAAATTGACCTGACAACAAGAACACATGCTGAGCCCCCCACAAATGCCTGCTGCTGTGAGCTGACACTGCAGGAGAGGGCAGTTGCTCATTGCATGGCCAGTCCTCTCAGTCCTTCCTTTGTAACCAAGCTGGAGGAGGGAGGTAAAGATGATGAAAGGCAGGGATGAGCGTCTGTGGTGGGAAAGCCTTGATGGTGGTGGGGAAGCCTTGATGGTGGTGGGAAATCCTTGATGGTCACTGCCAATACATGACTCAGTTCCCAGGGAGTTGCTTTGGATGCTTCCTCAGGTTCTAGTCCCAGGTATTCCACCGACCTTTGTTGTGGATCAGTGTCTCAATACCTGTAAGCAAGGCAAGCATGGGTTTACACTTAGACTTCTTTACTAATCTGCAGTGAGCAGTCTGACGTGCCTTCACCCATGTGTGTGTTGACCTTGCTTCCTGAGTGAACCAGCCCTGTGTGAGCATCTCCTTTGTGGGCCCCTGTGTCTCCCTGCACACCAGGAGGCTGCACTGGAGAGTGGCTGCCGTGCACTCCAGTTGAGAGAATTAAGCTAAGGACCTACTATGTGCACTGCAGTAACTGAGCTCTCTAGTGGGATCTAATTGGTGATTTTTCTTCTTCTTCCTTTTCCTTGTCATTTAAGGGTTCCTCCAAGGTCCCACTGATGACCTTGAAGCTACTGGACTTCTGCCTGAGCATCATGACCCTCTGCAGCTCCTACATGGAAGTGCCCACTTATCTCAACTTCAAGTCCATGAACCACATGGTGAGTGTGGGCCGAGCTCTGCTCTCACTCACTACTGTGTGGCCTTAAGTGAGTCACCACACCCTCTGGGCCTCCGTGTTTAGGGGCAGCTTTCCTAGAAACAGAGCCAGTGGAGAGGAATCTTGTTTGAGTGATTTCTTTAGGGAGAACTTTTGAGAAGAAACCTGGAAGGGGTGAGGGGAGCAGTTTCAAGCAAAGGGGGAAGCTAGGCATAGATCTGACCCCAGAGGGAGAGCTAGAGGGTGGAATTAGACCACCAACTACATCAGGATTTTTTATTACCTCACATAGTTTCTGATGATCAGGATTTCTCATGAAACCTGCATTCAAGCTGGCCTTGAGGCTGCAGACATCTAGTCTGCGTTGGTGCAGGATTAGCTCTCAAGGTTGCTGGCTCTTTGCCTCACTTCTTCTCCATGTAGAGCAGGAGTCAGGCTTCTTGAGTATCCTCACAAGACGGCAGCTGGTTTCCCCTGAGTGAATGATCCGAGGTAGAGAGGCAGCAAGGAGGAAGTGGCAGTGTCTTTTACGGCTGCTACCTCTTTCCTGCCCCTTGTATTAGAAGTGAGTCATTCAGTCCAGCCCACACTCAAAGGGTGAGGGGGTGAGCTCCACATTTTGAAGGGATGAATGTCCAAGAGTGGGTGCACTCACTTTTCAGACTGCCACAGAGTTTGTCCCAGACAGAGCAAGGGGATCTGGGGAAGATACTGTACGTCAGTCAGTAACATCTATGAGCAATGTTAGGGGTACACTATGGAGGGGCTCAGCATTTTAGAATTAGATAGCTCCCAACAGCCAAAGTGGTCCACTAGAGAAAAGCACAGACCTGGTTCACTGGCAGCTGATGCCCGTCAGCCTGGTCATGGGCATCTGGATGGGGAACCAGTGTAACCACTTCCCTGGTTCCTCACCTGTTAGAGGCTCTGGTGATGGCTGGTCCAGGTAACGAGCGTGCCACACCGTGTTCCCGATGGTGTGAGCCTGTCCCCTGTAGGTGGAGCCACTGATGTGATCTCTAAATCTGTTTCAGAATTACCTCCCCAGCCAGGAGGGCCTGTCTCATAGCCAGTTTGTCAAGATGATGATCATCTTCTCCATCGCCTTCATCACCGTCCTCATCCTAAAGGTGAGTGGCCGGGCCTGCCCTGTGGCTCTGGGAGGCATGACGAGGCTGTGCTGGGCCCAAGGTCATGCATGCCAGACTGCTGGGGAACAGGAAAATGTGTCATCTGCAGCTCCCTCATACATCTTTTTAAGTTTTTATTTTATTTTATGTGTGTGTGTGTACTGTCAAATTGGATCTGACTGGTACAGGAGGAGATTGCCCGTCCTCCAGCACAGCATCTGGTGGATTCAAACCAAACACCTCTGGGATTGCAGTTCAGCTTCTTGCCACTAGGCCACCAGAGTTCCCTAGCTCCCTGGTACTTTTAACTCCCTTCAGCCCTCCCTACACCAGTTCGTGAACCAACTGGATCCTCTGGACATCCACGTGGACAAAGTGGATGTTCAAATGTTGCCTGTGCTCAAGTGTCGGGGACTTAGTGGTCACCTAGAAAAACCCTGACCCAGGAACAGGAAAGCCTGCTCTGTCTAGAATTAGAATCTGGAAAGACAGGGTAACAGTGAGCATAGTTCAATGGTGATTAATATTATAAAACATAATGAATAGGATTGGTTGTGTGAAAAACAATGTGAATGAAGGATAGTGTGAAACACAAGGTATATGAACTTTGTAAGTAAACCAAAATAAAATAAAAATTTAAAAATAATTTTTTAAAAGAGAATTAGAATCAGAAAAATAGAGATTTGAATCCAAGATCTATCCTAACTAGCCATTTGTTAGTTCTTAGTGAGTAATTTCTCCTCTCTAGACCTTAGGTTTCATCTGTAAAATGGGTATATTTAAGTTTTGCTTTACCTGTGCCATTGCTTGTTCTGATTTAGACATAAAAATGTAGCTGGGAAGGGAGTTCTGGTGGCCTAGTGACAAGAAGCTGTACTGCAATCCCGAAGGTCCAGGGTTTGAATCCACCAGATGCTCTCCTGGAGAAGGAGGGGTAATCTCCTCCTGTGCCAGTCGGATCCGATTTGTTCGTACACAACAAGAAAAAAAAAAGAATTTGGCTTGGACCTGTTGTTTGTTGCTATGTGCCATCGAGTGGACACTAACTCATAGTGACCCCTGTGTACAACAGCTCTGAACCCTGCTCTATCCTGAGCCAATTTCATTGTCTCTGACACACCTACCCTCATTACTCAGTCAATGTGTCAATCCATCTCATCCAGGGTCTTCCTCTGTTGTCTGTCCCTCCACCCTTCCAAGCACTGATGTCCTTCTCCAAGAACTGGTCATATTTGTAGAGGTTTGGTGATAAAAAGGAAGGAAGGGAATGGTTTTTTTCTTCCCTGAGGTAGTCTGACCTAGACACTAGTTCTAGGTCACATTTTAGAGAAACAGTGACTGATTAATATGAATTTATAGAAGCACAGTCTGGAGGGTGAAGAGGCATGAAAGCAGTGCCATTTCAAATGGCAATGGAAGTTAAGGAAATGAGGTGATTGAACTTGGAAAAGAGATGGCTTGAGGGGATGGGATCATTGTCTAAAGTGCCCAGAAGACTTTTACAGGAAAAAGAGAATTCTCCTCCCTGCCCCAAGAAATGAACAGGCCTTTATTACATTGTCTGAAAGGGACACCAAGTGACTGTGCTCAGAGGAGGTAAAAATGGCGTGAGGTAATCAAGGACACTTTCTTTTTATAGGAGTTTTAGGAAGGACTAGGGAAGATGGTATTTTGCTTAGAATTAGGAGTAAGGGTCCTGTCAGTTAACCTGGTTATGGGCTTTTGTGATCAGGCCCAGAGCTGTATCGGTATCTGGTCTCTGGTCTGGTCTCTGGTCTGGTGGCCTTAGACATTTTGAAATTTTTTCAAGGAGTGACCAGGTCTGGGGCAACTGCAACATGGGAAGAGAATTCTTACAGGGAATTCTGTGAAATTTCAGAGGGCAGGCCTAAAAAGCCAAGGAGTCTAAAGTCAACTCCACAGGCGAGAGAGCTTTAAAAAGTGTTCTTTTCCAATTAGAGACTTAATGTGATCATTGCAGAAATCTATTCCTAAAACACAAATGGGCACTAAGAGGACAGTAGCCCACCATTCACAACCTTGCAGGGACCACTACTGCTATATATCTTGCCTCCATACTGGTGTCCCTGGGTTGGCAATCTGCAAACACAGCTGTGTGTTCATATCACTGGGTGCTGCACAGTCAATTCTAACTCAAGGATACCATGTGAAAGGATAGAACTGCCCTAAAGGGTTGTCTAGACTGCAGTCTCTACAGAAGCCAATTGTGAGGCCTTTGTCCCATGGAGCCATTGGACGGTTTGAACCTGCAACCTTTAGGTCAGCAGTCAGATGTTGAAATGTTTCACCACCAGGTCTTATTTGTTCCTTTTAAATGCTCTTTGAAGAACTAATGTAACTCAAGCATGCCCATGAGTATACAGTCAGGACTTCCTGAAGGCTTCTTGGAGGAGCTCAATGCATGATTTACTTGCCTACCAGGAACTAAGACCCCAAATCCTAACACCCAACTCCGTCTCCTCATCTGACTTCTATTTTGTCATTCTCCTTGAGAAGGCTGTTCCTCCCTCCCGTAGCCACTGGTTCCCCTCCTTTTTACTCAGTTTTTACCTAGCCCCCTTGCTACCTAACTCCTTTATCATTCATTTTCTTTGTGCATACCTACGTCTGCCTCATCTTACATAAATAAACCCTCATCATGGGATGCTGTGAAGCAAGGGACCTTCTCAACGATGACTCATTGCTGTTGAGTTGACAGTGATTCATAGTGACCCTAAGGCTGCAGATCTTGAAGAGCAGACTGCCTCTCCTTTCTCCTGTGGAGTGGGTGGTGGGTTTTGAACTGTAGGCCTTTCAGTTAGCAGCCTAACTCTTAACCCGTGACACCCCAAGGCTCCTTCAGATGATGACATAGCCCCCTTATTTATCAGGCAGTGTGGTGGTTGTCTCTTGCTATCCAAGTATTTTCCATGAGACTCTACGTTCTGTCTTGGAAATCTTACCGTGGACTTCTTCTAAACAAGCAGGGTCCTCTTCCCAGTGCTCACACCACGTGCTAAGAGAAAAGGAAAAAGAAACCTTGTCTTCACATGTGAGACATACAGAATTTTCCTTTATTTAGAAACATGGAATAATAATGGATCCACTCTTTCAAAAACAATGCACTTAGTAAACGTTCCCTCTTTGCTAGAATCCCTGAGAACGTAATGAAGGCTGGTAAAGTTATGCTGGATGTTCTACCCTCTTTACCCATCAGAGGTTTTGTGCTAGTATTACTCTTCATGTTTAGTGAAACTGGGAAAATTCAGGCACTAGTATACATTAAAGCTTCACTCAAAGAGAAATCCGGGAGTTTAGCAAATCTGAAGACAGTTTCTTTCAGACTTAAAGTTTATAAAACTAGAATTGGAAGAGACCCGAGATATTCATCTGTGGTTTTCTACGGGGTGGGGCTGTGCTTAAGATTGCAACTACCTCATCCTCTTCCTTATTCTGTTACTAGCAGGGGCAGAGGTGTGAGTGTAGAGAACAGAGAATGGAGGCTGGAGAAGGTGGAGAGGCCCCAGAGTTAAGGAACCTGGCCGTGAAAGTGCCACGCTCTTCCTCTATGCCTAGAAGGAGGGCAGGGCCACTTGCCTTAGGTCCACAGCTATGGTCCACAGCTATCGTTTGTTTGTGCATTGAGAGAGGACCTTCCTGTAAAACTACCTGTGCATTTGTTTTTCTAAAACATGCATGTTTTCTTTTTCACTGATGTAATAGATCTATTTGAGCAAAACAAAAATTGTACTATTTATGTTCTGAGATGATAGAAGGCTTTTTAAAGCATTCAAATCACTAAAATGTGTATGATTATTGAGACAGTTGAGTATTGTTGAGACATCAATTGAGACAATCACAGTTATTTCTTCAGTAATATTATTGTCAGTAAAACAAACTGGAAGACCACATGCTGTGGGGTTCCATTTATATGTAATGCCCATAAAAGGAAGTTTTTCAGAGATCAAGTGAGTTAGTTGAGGCATTAGGATGGCAACTGAGTGTGACTACAATGAGCTCAAAGAAGCTTCCCAAGGCGATGGTGGTGTTCTAAACTTGGATTATGATGGTGATTGAACAATTTGGAAAATCTATCTTCTAAATGGTATGGTTAAAATGGTTGAATTTTATGGTATGTAAATTATATATCAATAAAAAGTTTGCTTTTAGTCAACTAACAGGTGTGAAACCATTATAAACTACTTTTAATAGAATGAAAAAAATTGCATGCATATAAGTAATTTGAAGAAAATCTTTCCCACCATCAGTTCTATCTCCAGAATAAGTGAGATCATCTCAGAAAGCGGTGAGCTCCCTATCATGGAGGTAACATGCAACATCATCAGGACTGTTGTCAGAGAGGCTGCAGGGCAGGGGAGAACCCAGGAGAATAGGTCTCTGGGTAGCACAAGTGACTTGTCTGAGCTACTAAATGAAGGGTTGATGGTTCAAATCCAACTAGTAATGTCACAGAAACAAAGAGCTGGTGACCTACTGCCCTAAGATCATAGCCATTGCAAACTCCGTGGAACACTTTGGGGTTGTACTGTGATATATGTGCGTTGGAGTCTACTCACTGGCAGTAGGATTGGATTCAGTGCTACCCTGAGAGTCCGAGACAATATAAAAATAGAGGCCTTGTAATGCCTGAGATTAGCGTCACACTAGCTCCTAGTTACATTGGCCCTCTTCCCCAGTCACAACAAGGCCTTTGAACAGCAGCAAGTGGATGCTGCCTTCCAAGGAGAGATGTGCCCTCCAGGAAGTACCTGGCGCCTGCTCCAGGTCTGTGGGGTGATAGTTGTTGTTAGGTGCCATTGAGTTGAGTACAACTTATAATGACCCTCGGAACAACAGATCTGAACCCATTTCTATCCTGTGCCATCCTCACAGTTCCTGACATACCAGAGCCCATTGTAGCAGTCACTGTGCTACTTTTGAGGGTCTTTCTCTCCTCTGCTGACCTTCCTCCCTTCCCAGCAGCATGTCCCCCTCTAAGGAATAGGCCCTTCTAGCAACTAGGGTGATCTATAGAAGGAAGGACAACAAAGCACAGTCTGAAAGAAAAACTGTGGTACATTCACACAATGGAATTTTACACAACACTTAAAAACAATGAACTTGTAAAACACTACACAACATGGGTAAGCATGGAAGACATTATACTGAGTGAAATATCTCAGTCACAAAAGGACAAATCCTGTACAACACCACTGTTATAAAATAGGACAGACATGGGTATTGGGAGGAGAATAGAGTGGATAGATAATGGACACTGCTTTAGAACAGATGAGAGGAAGGACTGTCTGAAAGGAGTATATGATTAGGCATCATATGCATGACAACAATTTGGAACAAAGGGTGTATTGTGGGGTGGGCAATTTGCAACAATGAATGAATGAAAACCTAACCTTTCTATAAACTTTCATTAAAATCACAAACAACAACAACAACAAAAGCAAAGCACAGTTTGACCTGGGTCTTTTTTCCTAGATGTACACATTCAAGTGTGTGTGGAGGTGCTATCTGCTCATCAAGTATATGAACACGGAGGAGAGGAGCAGCTCCAAGATATTCCAGAAGGTAAGCCTGCTCAGATCTCAGCTCTGCCACTTGTTTGCTCAGTCAGTCAGTCAGTCAGTCAGTCAGTCAGTCAGTCACTTAGTCACTCAGTCACTTAGTCACTCAGTTACTTAGTCTCTCGTTCACTCACTCAGTCACTCGGTCATTCGCTCACTTTCTTACTCACTACTCAGTCAGTCAGTCAGTCACTCACTCACTCTCTCACTCACTCTTATGGGTCCCATCCTTTCCTCTGTGGGTCTCTGTTTCTTGACTCCTAAGATGAGGGTTGATGGTAGAGTCTCTCCCTCTGAGAATATAGAATGTCATTCTCTCATTAAGTATTTACTGCCTCAGAGTCTTTGCCAGCCTGTACCTAGCCCTGGGGGTGCAGAGAAAACAAAAATTTCAAACCAATTCAAGAGGGACATACAGGCCATACTGAAGTCAGATGCAGAGACCTGGTTACAATTTTGTGTGATATAGAGAGGTTATGGGAACACGGAAGAGGCACCTGGCTTCATTTAGGGTATCAGAAAAGTTTCTTGGAGGATGCAACACTTGGCCATGTCTTAGTTGGTCAAGCGGCAGAGCTAGTTGGGAAAGCGGATGATGTCTTCCTGGCATGAGAGCATGAGATTTGCTTAGAAGAGAGGATTCTAGGAGTGATGGGGGAAAGTGCAGTTGGTTTACATAACTGATGGTAATCTGTAAAGTGAGATTGTTGTTGTTAGATGCTGCCTGAGTACAGCTCATAACGACCCCATGAACAACTGATCTGAATACTGTCCTATCCTCTGTCATCCTCACAATCTCTGGCATCCTCAAGCCCATTGCTGTAGTCATTGTGTCAATCCACTTGGTTGAGGGTCTTCCTCTTTTGCCTTTCCTCCACCTTCCCAAGCATGATGTCCCTCTCGAAGAAATAACATCTAACAACATGCCCAAAGTATGTGAGATAAAGCTTCATCATCTTTGCTTCGAAGGAGCACTCTGACTGCACTTCTCCCAAGACATACCCATTTGTTCTTTTGGCAGTCGATGAGATAGTTAGCACTCTTCTCCAACAGCACAGTACAAGGGCATCAATTCTTCTACTGTCATCCTTATTTATTGCCCAGCTCTCAGATGCATAGCAAGTGACTAAAAAGACCATGGCCTGAATCAGGCTCATCTTGGTCCTCAAACTGACATCATTGCTCCTCAATAATTTGGAGAGGTCTCTGACTACAGACTTTCCCAGTCCAATACGTTGTCTGACCTCCTGACTGCTCTGGTATCAAGTGGATCCAAGAAAGAGGAAGTTGTTGACAGTTTCATTTCTCCATCTATTGTAATGTTGCCTATAAGGTTCAGTGGGTAAGATTTTTGTTTTCTTGATGTTGAGATGCAATCCACATTGAGGCTATGGTCTTTGATCTTCTGAAGCAAGTGCTTTAAGTCCTCCTCACTCTTAGCAAGCAAGGTTGTGTCATCTGCGTAACGAAGATTGTTGGTCAAAACTAGTACAAGCAGCAAAAACACTCAGTGAAATGCAAGCAAAACCCAGGAATTGATTAGCTTGTGGTACTTAGAAATCCAGGGCAGGTCTGGGTGTAGGTGTGGCCAAGTTCAGACACCAAAAATGTGCTCGTCCTCTCCATTTTCTGATTCTACATTCCTCAGTGGGACTCCTCTTTCAAACGACGCTTCCACTGTGGTTGTGAAAGAACTGTCAAAACCACTATGCTGTCATCCAATCCTGTCAGCAACCCCAGCTGAAAGAAAACATTCCAGAAGTCTCTGTGGCTGGACTTGCTTGCATCCCGTGCCCGTCCTCAAGCCAACGACTGTGGCTGCAGAGATGGAATTCTGTTTTGAGTGGACCATGCCAAGGCCACATGCTCATTCTCTAGATTTGAGAGGATGGGACCATTTCTTTTGAAACTGTGTTTTCTGGAAGGAAAAGAATATGTTGCTAAGACAAGGTGAACTTGAGATTGAATAGGAAAAAGCAAGCATGACCCCTGCAGGGACAGAAGGTGCACTTCATCCCCCACGTGCAGTGCCCGCTAGCTTAGGTGCCTAACAGATGCCAGCCAGCATCAACAGTCACTTTTCCAGTGGTGGGACTCCTCTGTCCAGGTTGGGCTGTGGCTCTCTCCTGCCAATCCTCAGGCTTTGTCACTTTGTCTCTCCTAGGTGGTGGTCCTGCCCTCCTATGAGGAGGCCGTGTCTCTGCCGTCCAAGTCTCCGGAGGGGGACTCAGCCCCACCCCCCTACTCAGAGATGTGATCCTGGCCAGGCCTCACTCTGGTGCCAGGAAGGATGGAGCTGCCTCGGGACCTGCTTCTTTGCTTTGGCAGCCCCTGCGCTGGGTGGCCCGTCTGGCCGACTTCAGGACAATCTGCTTGTGTCCCCCTCGCTGACCTGCTCCTCTGATGGGGCCTTTGAGACACTGACAATAAGGCAACCCTTTTGGCTGAATGATCCCTTCAGTCCAGCCACACTGGGTTCATTTGGATGAGCTCCACTGCTTGGTGAGACCATTGTCTCCTTGACCAATTTAGCCAAAAAATTGTCAAATCCAAACCATGTGAATTCAGTTCAATAACCCAAACAGCTATTGCACTGTTGTGTAAATATTTGTTAGTTCACACAGAGCAATTTATTTGAGTAATTGTAACTTAACCCCTTTATTTATATATATAATATATACATTATATATATAATGTCTAGTACATGTATGTGTGTGTATACATACATACATAATGTACAGTCGATTTTCTCGAATAGGTTATTTAGACAATGATCAATTCAGCTAACTACCAATCTATTTAAAACAGTGATAAAAAAAAATAATCAAATTAACCCTCAAATCACTCAATCTTGTCCAACAATTGATAGCCCGTTCTACTTAATTCAGAGTTAGGAGCCTCAGAGTTACTTAAAAATTTCCAGTTCAAGTGATAATTTAATCAATCAAATATTTATCAATCTATCACATTACCTAATATTTAATCCCAGGAAATGATAGTTGTTTCAGTCCTAAAACCATCACCTCAGACATCAGCTCTTTACTAAAGAGTTGTCACCATTACCCACCAGACAACTGCTGTCCAGACACCCCTGTGGTCACTGCAGTCAAGAGCATGGGCTGAGTGACAGGAGGTCAAGGCAGTCACAAACAAATCCACTGGCCAGGCCATCAATTGCCATCGATCCAGCCAGCAGCACATCAGTTCTGCCCAATAGCACTTATGGTGGAGCAGAAATTGAACCTGTCAAATTCGTCTGTTGGACTGAACTCATAGTCAGTGCAAACAGGGAGACCCATTGTGGGTGCAGACCCTGCTGTGAGGGATTGTGTGAGGTGGTGGGAGCAGCAGGATGGGCCCCAGCATCCCCCCTCTTACTGAGCCCCTGGGGAAGCTGACCTAGAAACAGAGATAGGTCCTCTGTGGCAGGCTTTCTGGAGTCACTGAGGGGTGGAAGGGAGAGGGCTATGTAAGGGGCTCACTGCCAATACTCTCTTGTGCAATTGCTTTGTGTGAAACACAAAGACGTTTCAATAAAGCAGCAACAAGCTTCTCTCTGGCTGGTGTGGTCTGTGAAATAAATTGTAGGCAGATGTGGGAGGCTGTCTTCTGTCACAGTCAGCCACTCACACATCCCATGCCCAGAACGGGAGTATCGTGACCTGGCACTGCTTCTGATGGCAGACGGTGTATTATGGGTTCACTCCAATGTCTCCCAGATCAGGTGTGAGTTCCTTTCACCTGGAGGGCAGCCTTTCACCTGGAGGACATCCACTGGAAGAGACCCTGCTCTGGGCACTGGGGGCAACTGCCATGGGTCAGACCTGCCTCCAGCTACCCATGCCCTGAGAAGGGGACAGGACTGCAAAGAGGCACAAGAGCCCATGGCCACCTCCGTGACAGAGAAAGTTCTAGGGGCTATGGGAGCACTGAGGTCAGAGGAGTCTGTGAAGGCTTCTTGAAGGAAGTTTTACCAAGTTGAGTTTGAAGGAAGCCAAAAGCAAAGTGGGCAAGGCTGTTTGAAGCCAAAGGAGAAGGGAGTGTGGGTCCCTCATGGAGATAGGAGAGAAGAGCTGAGTGGGTTACTCAGTGTAGCTACTATTAAGTGGGGAGCGGTGGGGATGAGGTGGACAAGTCTGGGGCTAGATCCTAAGTACATTTGCATACACTGGGGATCTTTGGCTGCAAGCTCTCCTGGTTAACTCTCGCCAAGAAAAGGGATGGCTTCAAGAAAGAGAAACCCTGGAGACTTAGGTTCAGGATTGGAAGTGGGAGAGGGAGGTGGTGGTGATGTGTCTTGGCCCACGTGAATGAAAAGCCCAGGACTCTGGCTTCAGGCACGGTTGGATCCAGCTCTCTTCATTTCCCCTAAACTCACTAAGCTGCTGACGGTATGTTTGGGAACACAGTCAACTGAGAGCTAGGGACAGTGTGAGTTGGACTCTATCATTGGTACCAAGAGAGAAACAGCAGAACCTTGAAAACCATGTAAGGCACAGGGCTCTACCATGGGCAAGGGGAGTCTCTGAGTGGCTTTGGACAAGGGGATTCTGTAACGAGGCTTGTGTTTTAGGAAGGAAGAAACCAGAGCCAAGGACTCCTGGGAAGACTGGAATGGTTGTCCCATGGGGAAAGGGAGATAGGAATGGATTTGAAAAATATCACCAACCTTCTGTAGTTGTAAGCTTTTCTTAGGGACGGCAGGGTTTCTCACAGATTCTATTTGCTTTTTATTTAATCACGGTGTAATTGATGTAATGTGAATCTAACAGGGCTGGAAAGAGATGTCCCACCAGCTTGATTCACACATGAGGGAATCCAGGCCCAGACACATCAAAAGTCTTTCTTGAGGCGACACAGTCACCAGGGATTAAACCATCTTGTTTACGCCAAGTGAAGATCATTGAGAGGGGGTGGGCCTCCAGGTTTCATGAGCCCTTTATTCTTGTGAGATCCTCCTCACCCCACTGCGAGGGCTCCTGGGGCAGAGGTCATGGAAGGAAGGAGTCATCCAGACTGAGGAGACCCTCATGTGATTGCTGTGGTTCTCCTTTCCCCCTACCCTGAGGAGGGGGAGCTGAGGCCTGGAGCTGAGGAACAGGCTGAACTGTGTAGGGGGATTGTGCCCTGTGGCCAGCCAGGCTGGGAGGGGGCCAGAGAGGAGCAGGAAATAGTTGGGTTTGGGGAAGTCCGCATGGCTGGGCCAAACCAAGCGGCCGAGATCGACTGGACAGCCTCATGGTGGCCCTATCAATGCCTCGTTTGAGGCTCAGACAGGGGTCCTTTGACAGGGGCTCGGCGGTTGGGACCCACTGAGGGAAGCCTGTCTGAGTTGGGTGCTGGAAAGGAGGTTGGCCCCAGGAAAGGGGGGCTTTGCAGGATGAGACAGGAGGGTGCTGGCCCGACAGGCTGTCTCTGAGAGGGAGGGGAGTCAGTAAAATCAGACCTGGGGTCTCTGAGCCAAAAATCAATCTGTTCTGGAAGTCTGTGATGGTACAAGGAATGACCCTGTATGTGAATAGAGGCTTCATTCAGTGCGTCATCTGTGGGCGTCCTCCCAAAGGCCCCTGGGACAGGGGTGGTGTGTGGTGGTTTCTGAGGTCAGGGAGAGGGAGGCACTTGCAGTGCAGTGACAGGCATGACCAGAGCCTCAGTGTGTCGCTCTGTCATGTCACACCAGCCTCACCCTAGCTTTCAGGACCCCTTCATTGTTTGACCCCTGTTCCCAGCATTGTCCTGGGGCAGGTCTTGGGAGCAATAGGACCCTTCAAATGTTTCACGTCCCAGAGGTGGTCATAGAACATTAGAACCTTCTTTCTGAGTATGAACTTTTCACATAGGTCATCTCACTCTGGCTTGGATATTCTCACAGTGACAGGAAACTTCTGCCTTAAAAGGCTGTCCCTCTGTACTAGGATGACTCTGACAGTCAGCAGGTGCTTCCTTCTCCTCCGTGTGTGTGTGTGTGTGTGTGTGTGTGTTGTTGTTGTTAGGTGCTATCGAGTCGAGTATGGTTCGGTGATCCTATGAACAAAAGATCTGAACCCTGTTCTATCCTGCACCATCTTCACACTTCCTGACACACAAGAGCTCATTGCAGCAGTCACTGTGTCAATCCACCCTGTTGAGAGTCTTCCTCTCCTTCGCTGACCCTCTACCCTTCCCAAAACCATGTCCTTCTCCAAGGAATAGCACCCCCTAGCAATATGACCAAAGTATGTTAGGCAAAGCCTGAATATTCTTGCCTCCAAAGAGTACTCTGGCTGCACCCTCTCCAAGACATGGCTATTATTTTTCTTGGCTGTCCATGAAATGTTCAGTGCTTTTCTCCAAAACCACAGCTCAAAGGCTTTTTCTTTTTCTGTCATTCTTATTCATTGTCCAGGTCTTGGATGCATAGCTAGTAATCGGAAAGACCATGGCCTGAATCAGACACATCTTGGTCCTCAAACTGACATCACTACTCCTCAATAATTTGGAAAGATTCCTAACTGCAGATTTCCCCATTTCCCCATTGCAAGGTGTCTCCTTATTTCCTGACCTCTCGTAACAAGGGTGTGGGAAGAGAGTGCATTAGGGATGTACTCTGTCTCCATACCTGTTCAATCTATATGCTGAGCAAATTATCTGAGAAGCTGGATTCTGTGAAGAGGAGTGTGGCATCAGGATTGGAGGGAGATACATCAATAACCTGTGTTAGGCACATGATACAACCTTGCTTGCTGAAAGTGAGGAGGATTTGAAGCACTTGTTGCATAAAATCAAGGAATGCAGGCTTCAGTATGGATTACATCTCAATATCAAGAAAATGAAGATTCTTACCACTGGACCAATAGGCCATATCATGATGGATGGGGAGGAGATTGAAACTGTAAACAGCTTCATCTTGCTTGGATCCACAATTAACACCCTTGACGTGAGCAGTTAGAGAATAAAGTTGCATTGCAATG